TTTTGACCAGCTACTTGTGCTGGAGGGGAGGGAGCCCACAATACCTGCCAAAATACCTGTGGCAGCCGGCCACCTGGTGTTATTTATACCTGCTGATTTGGGTTTTATTCTGATGCATTTTCTATTTCAATAACCACTGTGAAATGACACACATTTTTACAGAATCGCTCTACTTCCATGTAAAAATAGCACCTTTACATGTGTGCAAGGTAGGGCTGCAATTAGCTGCAATTTCACTGTTGATTAATCTATCAATTATTTTCTTGATTAATCGAGGAGTTGCTTGGTCTATCAAAGGTCAGAAAACTGTGAAAAATGTCGATCTGTGTTGCCTAAAGCCCGAGGTGACTGCCATAAATGTCTTGTTTTGTCCACAACCAAAAGATATTCAGTTTACTGTCATAGAGGAGTAAAGACAGCATACAATATTCACATTTAAGAAGCTGGAATTTTGACTGTTTTCTTGGAGAACTCCTCAAACCGATGAATCAAATATCAAATAAGTTGGTGATCAACTTAGTGACAACTAATTGTTGCCGCTCCAATGCAGAGCAATCTCTTAACAACAAACTCAACCTTGTACAACTTATTCAAGGGTCAATTCGTTGTAAGCCATATGACCCACCTGGTCAACAGGTGGCTATTTACTGAAGGAATACCAGAAATCTTCTACAATGATGAATGTCCAGTCTGAATAAGAAGGCAGTATTTCATGGAAACTGAACAAACAAATCGTTGTAAATTACCACAGAGGTTAAAAGTATCAAGTATGGGACGTATAGTCGAAGCTATGAACTCGTCTAAACTCAAAGTAGTGCTGGGCAATATGGAGAAAATCAAATATCCAAATATTTTTGCCAATGCCTTGATATTGCCATTGCCATTGCAATGATACTGTAGGCTTAACTGGTGGTGCTTTCACTAAATATTTACAGTGGGGTTTTTTTCCACAAATAATCATCAGGTAGGTGGATATAATGATGAGGTAGGTAAAGGCAAATAATAGAAGAGCTAGAACAGTCTGTTAAGTTCAGAAAATGACATCACTTTACTGTAATGTACCCTTTAAAAGCAGGAAAAGATAAAACTAACAATATCCAAGACGATACCCAGTCTTGTATCGCGATAGATAAAATGTATTGCATTATATTCCTGAGTCCTAATTCAAATTGTGGGGTTTTTATGAGGAAGTTAGCGTCATCAAACACAATGCCCAACTCATCAATCCATACACAATACTTTTAACTGTCTAAGACACGTTGGTCCCACTGTAAACACACATGCTTGAGTCAATATGAGGTCCAACAGGATAAACAAGAAACAGTTCAGTCAGTCAAACATTGAAGGATTGCTCTCCTCCAGTTCCATGAATTGCCCAAGGCCTTTGGGTGGGACCCCGTGGCCAATAAGACTACTCCTGATTTTTGGCATTTATGCAACAAACAGGGCAGCTGACACAACAAACAGTTCTCAACGGACAAGGAAACACTGACATCTTAAAAATACGATTAAGTTCGGCTAATCTGAAACCTACAATGTTAGATCAGGCTTTAAGGTACTTCTGGTGACTTAAGAAAATTGTAAATGGGCACGCCTCTTCATACCTGTCTGATCACCTAAATGTTCCATTGCATACTGTGTTCTCTACTCTCAGAATAAAGGGCTCCTGTCTAATCCCAGATAAGAAGTCGTCACCAGGCTAGAGGGCCTTCTCTTATCATGTCCCCTTACACTCGAATTATCTCCCTGTTGACATCAGAGAGTCTGACTCTGTTGAGGCCTTTAAGTCCAAACTAAAACTCATATTATAGCCTTAACTTTCAGTTAGTTTCAGTTAGTTTCTTAATTCTTAAAGTCCGTCAGGTCTGTCTCAGTCTCAATTAATCTATTAAGCCTAGCATCTATATTTCATGTCTTGGCGACGAGATTACTGCTAACTTTCTAAAAGTCACTGCATCTCTTGAACCCTGTTTGCTTGTTGTCCTACAAGTAAGAGTGTCCAAGCTGTATGCCTATATCTTTCTCTCTACTATTTCCTGCCCCTTGTCCTCTCTTTTCACTCAGGCCTCTCAGTGCTGGACCACTGGCTGTCCTGGGACCTCGCGCTCCCCTGGCTGTTGTCGCCTCACTCCAGATGTTTTGGATCTGGATCTTCATCCTCCAGGGGATTCGGCCTCTCCCCTTGTCTCTCTCTGTTTTCTATGTGCTTATTTCCTTTCTCCTATTTGTGTAAATGATGTGCTTGAGCTTTGCATGTCATGTTCTTCCGGGAAGACTTGACTATGTGATCTGACCAAAATCGATGAAAGCATCCAATCACTTTCAAACCTTTGGGAAAAGCCAGTAAATTCAAAATGGCGTAAAGGACGTGGCTTAGTGTATAAAGCAGTGAACAGTGAAACACCCCCTGCAGAACAAGGGGTCAATTTTCACTTGCAGCAGCATCTATCACATTTGCGTCTGATTTGATTCACAAGTAATTACCACTGTCTGAATAAACCTAAGAATCCTAGAGTCAGTATTTTTCTCATGACGGCTTCATCTCAAACTTGAAAACGCCAGTGCAACAAGGGTCTCTCATCCCTCATCGACACTGACACAGACTAGCGGTCAATTCTGGAGACACTTCATGGTTTCCACTGCACTTCCTGCTAACATTTTCACAATGACTGGGCTCACACTCAACCAGACTGTAACTGCTGTGTTAAAACTGTGTCCAACAGTGAGCCACAGATACTATTATGATAACACCACAGCAAGACCTAGATAGATGGAAACAGTAAGAGCTATGCCACACTACCCTGCAGAGAGTTATCTCCAGTATTAGGTCTAAATAGTGTGGTTAATCATTAGAATAGGTCAGAAACAAAGAAAAATGTGGGGGGTGTTACGTTTCTCTGGGAAGATGATAACCCACTGCTGGGTCATAGTTGTGTGTAACAGATGTGACCTCTATTTTAATACCTATTACATTCATGAATTGTGTTTAAAATATGACAAATAAACCAAATGGTGGGAGTAAGTAGGATTTTTTTTAGTTTAGATATACTGAAAGTAACAAAACTATGAATTGGATGTAAAAACTTTTAACATTCTTCACAGTTATAACCACTGCTCAACATCAGGACAAGTTGTAACTCAGCAAAACTGAAGAACATTTACAGCAAGATTAAATTCCAGGACCTGCAAACACCATAATATATAATATAACCATAATAAATGCAACAATCGCAACAGTGAGAAATGGGACCTTTGAGCCTGTTGACACAACCAAAAAAAAAACAAAACAAAATCTAGTGGGAGGTGGAAAATACAGATGTATTATCAAAACGTTTCCGTCCTGATGCAGCAGAATAAGAGTGGATCTCGAGTCATGCCTGTCTGGTCACATCACTCTCAGGAGGGTTTTTCATAAGAGGCACCCCTCCTTGGGCTAATCCAAGGCCTATCATAAAATGCAAAGCGACATGTGTCCCCCATCACTAGCCAAGGGTGCCAACTGTCTGCTTGCTCTAAAAGGAGGGCACTTGCTCGACAGAGGCAGGGATATACACACTGCTGTTCATCTTAAACACACCTCAAAGACAGGTGAACACAGGACTAACTTGAAGTGACCACTCAAACAGCATGATCTATGTGGCTCATGGCTAGCTTGATGTGGATGCTGTGACTGCCTAAAATAAAATCACTGAGCCCCAGCAGTCGTTACAAGACTTAATAATTCAAATATAGCTCATTATAAATATATATCTCAATGTTAATATCAAATGTGTAATATCATATGATTGCTTCCAGATGTTTGACTCCAACAGGAAATGAACGGTTAATTATAGAGCATGCCCTTAGACTTGAACGCAAGACACCTTATTACACACATAAAGTGGTGAATATGATCTCAGCCACAGAAACATTGATATTCTGGTACAAACACAGAGTAGGCGTTCAGTTGTCTGTCGTCTGGCGTGGGTGATAGCTACTACCCCGTCGTGGACAGACAGACTGACACACACCCTGACGGAGGCACCACCGTCCACCATTACGCCTCCATAAAAAGGCTTTTCACGGTTGAGCTAATCTGACAAAGTTCTGAGATCAATGGCTCATGAAGCCATAATCATGCCCATCCACGGCTAAACACAGTCGGTTTAGCGATAACCGGCGACAATACTGGCTATGGTGTTCATAAACTTCAGCGGACCAACTTTCCCAAAATTATAGCTACCTATTTTTCAACTAACCCATCAACAACAACAAGCTATCTGATGCTAACGTTAACTTGGCTTGCCAACAACAACCTGTCCATCTGTCCGGCTACACAACCAGTGGCTAACTAACGCGAGCTAACAGCCTATTGTGGTTGCGAGCGGTTGTAGAGATTATAGTAAAGTCACTAAACAGTGGAGCATATACTCCTTTAAAAGGTGATTCTAGGCATTATTATATTTAGCTTCGATGGCTGTACGCGTCCAAATAGCGATACACGACAGACAATGAAACCGACCCCATCTCAGTGAGCTGCTAGTGTTAAAAGGCTAGCTAGCGAGCTAAGTTAGCCTGCTAACGCTAACTCCCTGGACACTTGCTTGCCCAGACAGACAGTCGCTAAATTTATTCACAAATAATCAAGCGTTAATTACACGCAGATAATGACTGTTTAGTCCCAGAGTGCTTTACCTTCTTTATGACTAAATACAAATATTAACTCACATGTTATCTTACTATTGGTGCATCCCAAAAGAAGTTTGCCGGGGAAGTTTGTTTAAATATTCCTCGACTTTTTGAGGCGGTTTGTTCTTGGCAGCCCGTGCTCGGTAGGTGTATGTGTGTGGCGGAGCTACACACAAACTGTTACCTTGCACGTTAGCTAAGATCAAGCTATGCTAGCTAGCTTAACTTAGCAGTGCTAACGCCGATAGAGAAACTTCCTTTCATCGTCATAATTTAATTGAGAAATTAAAATATTGGATTAGTTGATGTGATAATGAAATGCGTGGACTTACGAAGTCTAGGAGGAGCCTGACCGAGTTCCCCCCGCGATTTTCAGATGTTTGATGTCAGTATTTCGCTGGCTTCGGTGTAAAAATCCCGGGGATCCCCTCTCTTCTGTCCGCTGCCACTCCGGTTGCCAGATAATGTAATGAGCCACCACAGGCGGCGTCATGCTGCGTTCATACACACCTCGGAAATGTTAAGTTTCCACTTGATGAGATAGGAAGAAAATGCTACGTTTGGAGTCATCGGACAAGGAAGCAGACAGGGAGACAAACTACAGCTTGAATCAAACAATACACAAATTTAAAAACACGATTTACTCGTATCATAACTTATTATTACTGAATTTAACTGGATTTTTTTACATGCTTGTGTGACAACGTTGTGTTTGCTTGATACAGAAACTTCCCAGTTTCTCTGTTAATGTGTTAGACCCACTCCAAGTACATGAAATAATACATTTAAAACAATTAAGTACACTTTGTTCACTTCTTCCACTTACACTTCTTATAGTCTTTGACACTGCAGCTCAGGAGAAATAATGCAAACGTCATTCATGAATTTGCCCCTTTCATTTTTGATCTTTTACTTTCTATTTCTGATCACGTAGGTCATCACAAGTGTGTGAGTTCCTGCATTTGGTGCTTTAAGTCCATATGATCCTCATTTGTTGTGTTACATACATCTGTACATGGATGTATGTGTTATACATCTGTTTTCATGACTAAACTTACATTTTGCTTTTACCATGGTAGTATATGTCATATAAGTGCCCTGTTTTAGTATGTGTGTACTTTGTCTTGAGGCTTCTGCACATATGTCTGTCTTTGTGTGTGCGTGCATATGTGCATGGGCAATTTTGCACTGTACTTCTAGATCCAAATAAATGTAAAACAAGCATCATTATCATCTTTATTTTTGTCACAACATATAACTAGTGAGGACTGTCTTAACAAAGTTGAAATTATTCCAAATCTTAAACCAGGGGTGTAAATACAGACAGTGCAGGAAATGTGATTGCACTGGGGCCTGTGACGTGGGGGGCCCCATAGAGAAAGTGGGCCCTCCAATATTAAAAAAATAAATATGTTTATTTTTTCCTTTTTTTGTGAAATGGTCAAAAGCAAATCCTCATTCTAAATTAACTATATTAAACTATTAAAATTGTTAAATTAAATCAATAATTTCTCATTTTCTTTGGTATTTTTTGTTATATACAGACATGCAATGATGATTACTGTCTAATATGTATGAAAATGTTCTCCAATGTCAAGTCTCTGATCGTGCGATGAGACAATATGTGCACGATAGTGTATACTGTCGGGCCCGTCATAGTAGCATGCACTGGGGCTCTTACGCCACTGTCTTAAACCTATAATACTACCATGCTGAATCTATACGTGTGCGGGGGGTTTCAGTGACAACACAACAGGGGTTTTATTCAATAGACTCATAGATACTGTATTTTCATTGTATATTAACACCCAAGTAATTTGGTTGGCATCAGTCCACTCCACTTAGCATCATTAATGTAATATAAAAGGAAATATTAAAAAAAAAGGTCAAATTTACATCATAAAAATATAAATAACCCTTAATGAATGAATCTTACCTGTAAAATATGTAACCTATATTATTCAAAAGTACTTACTTGAGTCCATAAAACAAGATAACATGGTTTGATTTGGTGCATTTGTCCGTGTTGGATATTTAACAGTTAAATACTCCTGCGTCACATGAGATGGCAGTTGAGGCAGAACAGAACTATTGGTTGCAAAGTAGACATTTCCGTGGAACTGGCTCACTGCCACTCCCTCAGGCTCTTCTGCCGACCACAGAGGACAGTAGCAGCTCCAAGATCAACAGAGACAGGAGTGCCAAACTGGCCCCTGCCACCTTCCTGAGAGCCTCTGTTCATTTCTAAGGTACATTGTTGTCCTCAGGGCGTACCAGCTCAGCCTGCTCCTGAAGTATACCCAGAGACACATGAGCATCATGTGTCATGGCTGGACTACATAACTAGGTAACCATGCCAGGCCACTTCTACGGCCACAGCTTGCGATCTGGTGCTGCTGTGGAACTTCCTGTGGTTATCCTCACTAACATGGATCCCCCCTATGTTTCCTGGCTAATTACAGAGCTGTTCAAACCGCCTTGATAATAATCACCTCTGAATCTCAGTTTCCCCCTCCCTGTGGACAGAAAGTCTCGTAGAGGTTCAGGCCAGGGAAATAATGGTGCAGAAGATCAGGGAGCCCTTTGCTACACTATGAAGGAAGTGTTCTCTGGTTTATTCCTATTCAAGCTGCTCTATGGGGGCCTGCTACATGAGCCAAAGGACGCACGAGAGCAGCATCCTTCTTCTCTTTTCTCACCTCTATACACCAATTCATTGAACAGGTGCTGGAATGGAGGTGAGCACAGAAGTCATTGTCCACTGGGAGAGCTCAGTGCTAGTTCACAGTAAGCACAAAGTCCAGGTCCTGCTTTGTATCTGTGCAGCGTTAACCCCACAGGATACATAAAAGGCTGAGTGCAGACTTATTTTACTGTTCCACACAGGCCTCAAACAGCTTGTTAAATCCACTTCTGAGTGGTGCAAATGGATGTTTGTGCAGGGAGGATGGAGCAACCTTACTCATGGTCTTGGTTCTATATGACGAGACAAAACATTTAGATGTATTGATGAAGATGGGTACTGATCCTGGGATTGTGTAGACACAGAGCCAGCAGCTTGTTAGACAGAATCAAACAGCAGTACATGGGACAAGTTACCAATAAAACCCAAATCACTTCCTAACTGCATTTCAATGTCTTTATATTATTATGTTTGTTGAGTAGTTCTTTGATACAGAGATCTGCATAAATCAAGCACCGAAAGCACAATAAAGACAATTTAAGACAGGGGTGTCAAATGTACGGCCCAGAGGACCTCACCTAGTCCTTCAAATGACTGTATGAAAGAGATGATGGTACGTACGGTATACTTGTCCACCAATTTCGTCAGCCATCTGTTTTCTATCATAATACCCTTACAGACCTTTGTTTGATACTTTAAGTAATAGTTACTCATAATAGGTACCAATGCTGTATGCTTAGTACAATAATAATAATAGCTGGTCTCAAAAAATGTAACTACACTACAGTCTTAATGTTCTGCTGGGAAACCTTTGGTCCTAGCACTCATGTGGATGCCCCTTTACGTGCTCCACCCACCTAAAGATTGTCATAGACAAAATACCCCCACTGTTTGCATCAGTACTCCCGATGACAGTAGCCCCCCCAGCAAGGCAGTGCACCATGCCCAACTGCAAAAACTGCTCAGGAATGGTCTGAGGAACGTGACAAAGAGCTTTTGATCTATCTTTCGAATTCCCCAGATCCAGATCTGATCAAGCATCTGTGGGACAAGCCGGAACCCCAGAGGTCCTTTGTCCTGGCTTCGACGGGTCAAAGCCAAGTCTGATCTACAGTGGGGCCTCTGCCCTGTCGAGGCATGGAGACAGGGCCTCTGGGGGTTTCCTGTGTTGTCTGGCACCAAGGTGTTGTTGATGGATCCTTTGAGTCCTGTGGGATGTGAGGTAAGATACCGGCATGCCCAATGGATGTTCAATCAAATTGGGGTCTGGGGAATTTGGAGGCCAGGTTGACACTTTGAGGTCTTAGTCACGTCCCCCGTGCCATTCCTGAGCTGTTTTTGTGGTGTGGCATGGTGCAATGTCCTGCCTGGAGGGCGCACTTCCAACAAGGAGTGCCGTTGCCATGAGGGGGTGTATTGGTCGGTAATGGTGTTTGGGTGGGTGGTGTGTGTATGCCAGGACCCAAGGTACCTCAAAAGAACATTGTATTGTAACAAAATGATCAATGTTATTCACTTCACCAGCCAGTGGTTTAAATGATTTGGTTCATCGGTGTATATATACATAGATAGATAGATAGATAGATAGATAGATAGAAATATAACTGGGCTTTTATGTTTTGCTGGTACATTCTGTCTTTTAAATATTTTATCTGTAGTAAAAGTTCATAAAGTCAAACATATTTGTGTAAATTCTGTTGAGAAGACAAGACTTCAAGAGTGCAATTACAAGCCTGTTAACACATTTGAAAACTCTAGCACCACCTACAGGCTACTTAACGAACAGTAGTTGACATATAACTGCTGTGCGTCATACAGCTACCGGTATTCACTCGGTTTCCTTCCTATTGTTTTGCCTGCTGAAGTCTCCCACTTCAGCAGGTCGTCAGAGGTAAGAGTGCCCCAGTTTGGCTCCACTGAACATGATTATGAAGCAATCAGCAGCGCCCACGCACTCAACGGTTCGGAAAACAACTCTCAACCCAACGGCACAATGTCGACAAACTCACATGTAACTCAGTACATTACAAATTTTCAATCATATTTTTATTGGAAAATTATTGAAAACAAAGTAAGCATTAAAAACATAGGCATTGGATAGAATATGGCTAGTACTCAAGCTTAAACTGTGTCCTTACAGAGTGCCTTAAATACCGAGCATTGAGATTTCTACATAGGATAGCTAAAAATACATATCACACTTTACTAAATTGACTTTATAAAATGTCACTGTACAATAAAGGTTCAACGAGTGGCAAATCTATACAAACATACTGTAAAGAAAACATTTAGTAGAACTATCAAGACAAATTAAAATATAACAAAATAAAATAAATTTGCTTCTTTTTTTTTGAATATCTGAAGATTACTGTAAGCTCCAAAAGTCTAAACCTGATTTGTAAAAATTAATACAACAACAGGGAATTTATATATTATGGAACTTCAAAAAAAATACATCAGTTAAATGAGTTGCTTTAAAGGGTGTGTGGCAAACCCTCGCAGCCACTAAATGACACAAAACTCAGATGTATTTAAACATTGCTCATTAACAGACCTACAGAGGCATTTTCTGGTCCACGGAGGAACTACACAGTGAATTGTGTAGTCCCGATACAATGTACACTGCCAATTAGTATCACAAAACCTGTGATTATTGTGTGAAAATATATTACAAGATGTCTCTATTCTTTCAAATATGGATTCTGTGCAAAAAAAAAAACAAAAAAAAAACAAACAAGAATTTATTGTCAACAACCCCAGTCAGAAACTATTGTACAGGGAGTCCACATC